AAAAAAAAAAAAAAAAAAAAAACATGTCATCAAAAACATCTGAAAAAAAAATATGTTATGAAGAACAATAAATTAAACAGGATTTGCCTGAGCATTACATCCTAATTCCTTACCAAATTTGAAATAAAAATAAAATACGAAAAACAAATACTAATAAATAAATAAAAAAAGAATTAAATTTAGTGAGTGCGCGAGCATATTTTCGACACCGCTATCTTTGGTGATTTTGCATTTTTTTTTGGCATGGATAAATGCCCTAAAAATTTACAGATGTGTATTTCACATAATACAAAACCCGCTAAAAAAAATTAAAAAAATAATAAAATTGTTTAGACCCCGAACTAAAGTGAAAACAAAAAGTAAAAAGTGAAAAAACATGTGCGCAATTACGTTTTGACACCATCATCTTTGGCGATTTGTAATTCTTATTTGGCTTAGCCAAATGACTTGAAACTTTACAGGCATGTACCTCACGTCATAGAGAACTCACAACAAAAACTTCAAAAAAAAATAATTAGTTTTAGGCCCCAAAATAAGTTTTGGCGGGGGCCGAACGCCGTCGGGTTCGGACCCCGTACGGAACCCCGAACGCCCGTACGTACGGAGGTCTGCCCGGGGACCTCCGTACGTACAGGCTGGTGACCTTGTATATGTGTATCTTACATAGTAAATAATCAAATAAAGTTTGAAAAATACTATTTTTTTCATGTCCCAAAATAAAGAAAAAATAAAAAGTGAAAAGAGAAAAAAAACAAATTAGTGAGTGGGCGAGCAAGTTTTGACACCACCATCTTTGCCGATTTTTTTCGTTTTTTTTGGCTGAACAGAATGGCTTCAAAATTAAAAGTGAGTTACCTTACATCACAAAGAACTCACAAAAACATTTTCAGAAAACAATAATAATATTTAAGTGTCAAAATATTTTTTTGCGGGGTCCGAACCCCTTCAGGTTCGGGCCCTGTACGAGAACCGGAACGCCTGAATGTTCGGGGGTCAGCTTAGAGACCTCCGTACGGTCTGTCTGGCAACCCTGTATATATATATATATATATATATATATATATATATATATATATATATATATATATATATATATATATATGGGGCCGAACGCCCGAACGAACGGCCGAACACAGACGGGTCGAACGCCCGAAATATTTTTTTGTTTTTGTCTTTCTGCGCTCGCCTAGACGACCCTAAATTTGAGCTCATTTCATTTTTTGAAAGTTGACTATCAAGAGGGGTAAAGGTGGGTAAAAATTGTTTTTAAAGGGCCTAGAAAATTAAAGGAAGATCCTTTAGTGTGATTTGTTTTTTATTTTTATATTTAATCGTGTGAGGAATTCTGATGTGACCCTCGGCCAAAAGTTGTTTGTATTGCATACACAACTTTTTTTTCTGGAATGTTTGAATTTTTTTTTATTTTTATTTTTTTTCTGCGGCTGCTTGGAACTGTGCAGAGGGCCATGCCCGGCAAGGCACCTAGGCGTGTATCTGGGAACAAGTTGGGTGTCCGAGCGCCTCGAAAAATAACCTAGTATATATATATACAGGGTAACTAGCGTTCAGAATGGGCCGAAAGCCCCCTAACCCGAACGCCCGAACATGCGGGAACCCTTTGGGGATGCGTTCGGACGTTTAAGCCAAACGCGACAAAAAAAAAAAAAAAAACCCTGAAAAAATGATATATTGTGAAGAAAAATAAAATAAAGAACATTTGTCAGAGCATTACATCCAAATTCCTTATCAAATTTAAAATAAAAATAAAATAAGTGACATAAAATTAATCAAATAAAAAAAATTAAAATTAGTGAGAAAGCGAGCACCTGTGTAGCACACCGAACATGTTCGGAGCTTTTCGGCGCTCCAAGGCAAAAGTTGTTTGTATTATTATTTTACATAACATATATATTTTTCAGATTTTTTGGAGAACTTTTTTTTTTTTTTTTTTTTTTTTTCGCGTTCGGAGAGTTTCGGCGCTCGTTCACGTTCGGTCCCGAACGTTCGGGTTCGGTCACCGAACCCGAACACGATGCTACACAGGCGAGCACGTTTTTGACAACGCCATCTTTGTCGATTTTTTTTTTTTTTCTTGCAAGGCTAAATGCCCGGAACATTTACAGATACGTACATTACATAAGACAAAATTGATTCCAAAAGTTTCAAAAAACTAATAAATTTGTTTAGGCTCCGCAATAAAGTGAAAACAAAAGGTGAAAAATAAAGGAAAAAAAAATAATGCGTGGGCGAGCACGTTTTGACACTGCCATCTTTGGTGATTTTTTGTTTTTTTTGTGCTAAGCAAAATGACTTGAAAATTTATATGCATATACCTCGCATCATAGAGAACTCAAGCAAATAAATTCATAAAAAAAAAACATAGTTTTTAAACTCCGAAAGAAGTTTTGGCGGGGGCCAATAGTCGTCCGGTTTGAACTCGGAACGAGACCGCAAACGCGTGTACGCATGGAGGTCGGCCAGAGGACCTCCGTACGTGCGGGCTGGTGACCCTTCCTGTATATTATATAATGATGAATTTGGTAAAGAATTTCGATACGACCCTTAAGCAAAGAGTGGTTCAATTTATTTTTTGGCATGATATAGTTTTTTTTTGGATTTTTCAGATTTGTTTTCCATTGTTGTTTTTTTATGGGACCTTTCCTGGTCCTTGCATGACTGAGCCATCCGAAAAAACAGGGTCACCTATGTGGCCCGGCTAGTAGCATAATTTTTTTTTATTTTTTATTTTTTTATGTAACACTGAGGGAAAGGTTGTTAAGTTTATTTTCCTGCATAAGATAGTTTTTTTACTAGGCCACGAGTCGGGCCGCCCGGGTCACCATATTTTCGCGAGCGGTCCGAACATGCAAGGATTAAGAAAGGTCTTATAAAAAAAAAAAAAAAAAAAACAATGAAAGACCACAATGAGATGGAGAAAAGGAAACTAAACAATTTTTATTTAATGATCTCATTAAAATTATTTACCAAAATTAAAATAAAAAATAAAATGAAAAATATTTTTTACTGTTTTATTTTTTTTATACTTTTTTAAGCCCAATCAGACAAGAGGTCCTATGCCACTTTGGTGGCCTGCTTTTGTTTTGGATTTTTATGATTTTTTTTTTTTTTTTGCTAAGGTCTTCCCTGCTCCTATAACGACTAGGTTGCTTTGGGAAATAGGATGACCCGAACTGAATAACTTTTATCTGAAGGTCGTATTGAAGTTTTTTTTTTTTTTACGGACTTGATAAATGGTTTTGAGCTACTTGGGTAGTCTCTCTCTTTCTCTCTCTGTCTCACTCTCTCTCTCCGTATATATATATAGGGTCACTAACCCGTACGTACGGAGGTCCCTGAGCCGGCGTTCGGCCCCTGCCAAAAACTATTTCGTGGACGAAAAATACGTTTTGTTTTCTGATTTATTTTTTATAAGTTCTTTATGATGTGAGGTATATGTGTATAAATGTGTAAGTAATTAAGCCAAGCCAAAAAGAAATAAACGCCAAAGATAGCGGTCTCAAAACGTGGTCGCCCACTCACTATTTTGTTTTTTTTCACTTTTTACTTTTTGTTTTCACTTTATTGCGGAGTCTGAACAAATTTATTATTTTTTTAAATTTTTTTATCGAGTTTGTTGTATGGATATGGAAGACAAAGCAGTGTGCGAAAGCAAGCAAACTGTAAACAGTGTGCGATGGGTATGGCACCCCGACCGGTTTCGACCGCCGCGCCGGTGGGTATGGCACCCCGACCGGTTTCGACCGCCGCCACGCAGTCTCTTCAGGGGGACACTCCTTTCCTCTCCTTTACACCTTTCCTTCCTTCCTCACTCCCACTTACGCCTGCGTTACCCATCTCTGAGTAGTCAACCGCAAGTCCCGAAAGACGTTTAACAAAGTCGCCATTGTACTTATACCTGTGTGGCTAATCTGTCCTATGTTGCCTGAGTATCTCGAGGTCTACTCTCGTCACTCGTACCCTGACAAGCATTCTGACGTCCTATGTGCCGAAATATGCTCCGAAAGAAAACTAACCAGAAAAAATGGAATGACCCTATATTCAAACCGTCGGCCTCTCGGTTATACCGACGGCGCCAGCTAAACAAAACAAAACACTCAGCATTCAACGTCAAGCAGATCCTGTGTTCGAAACCAAGGCGCTTACATAGCGCTAACTCCAAAACGTATCTATTACAAGGGTACTAGATGGTACGATAGGTGCGTGTTCGAATCTCGGTGCTGCACCCTATCCCAGCATCTATCTTACTTCGCTTGAAACTCACAAAGGACAAAGTATTGCTAAAAAGGTATACTACAGGGGTAGATGCTGGGATAGGTGCTGTACTGCATCCTAACCCAGTGTCTCTCCTACTACACTTGACACAGATAAAAAGAAATAACTCGCATCTCATTCATACACCACATTCCTGCGCCTGTCTCATCTATCTCAGCAAGTTTACAGTGGCCCCTATTTACTATCGGCAATTTGATCCCTCACACATTCGTCCCATCTTCCGACAACCGCCGTAGTACCTATACTATCCTATCGAATTCCAGTAGCCATCAAAACAAACACAAACACAAATACGGGAAACGAGAGATATTCCTACTTCCTACAAGCATCGAACTAATTAACATGTCTCCCTTATACCCGATAGCATCTAGATCTCGTTACATATCCATTTCCTTGTTGTTTGCCAGATCTCTACTTTCCCAACGCTGAACCTTCGCAGCGTCCTCTGCACAAATGTATCGGGGAAGTCCTTCTTCTTCATTTCCTGACACAGCACAAAGACTCTCCATGGAATCTCGGACCTGATTGTCGTGTTGGTATCGATTCGATGAAGATAACTTGCCAAAACCGCCCCCTTCTGTTGTTTGTTCCCCCAAGATCCGAACATCTGTCCGTTCTTGAATTTCAGACTCTCGCCCTCCCATACAGCCTTCTCGTTCTTGGACATCTGCACGCAACCCAGGTATGGGTAACTCTTCATCAGTCTCATCTCCATGCCTAGGAAATCCCATGTCCCTGACCCGTTGTCCGTACGTTTCAGAGTCAGATTAGGAGGGTAACACTTCTCAAACTCCTCCTTAATCCTTATCACCTCGTGGGCTTGCCTGCGCTTAGCACTGATCACCTCGACGGTCTCCCAGCGAGGTCAAAAATTTGAACTCGTAGTATGCACACATGATGCATGCTAATGGGGGGCTGGTACTTTTCCCCATTGGAATGCCGGTTGTCTGCTTCAGCAACACTCCAGTCGCGTGGACGTACGTGTGCTCGAGATCTACTCGAACAAAGTTTCGAATCTCCTCCAACTCCATCTTCCTCCAATGATCTGCTCCAGTAGTTATCCCGAACGTACAGCCTTTACCTCTCGTATTCACCCTGATCCACGTTTTTCCTTTCGCCCTGTACATGTCGATGATCCAATTAACCGATTCCATGATGTCGGCATGAGGAAGCTTGCTAAACATATCCTTGATGTCGTATGACATCGCCTCCATGAGTAGATCTTCCTCCTCCTTGCAAATGTTCGCGTTGTTGAAACGTTCAATTTGCCGTGGAACTTCGTTAACAGAGCACATGTTGAAGTGCCATTTCTCTGGAATGTTAAACAGGACATGGTTGAGAGCCTTCGCCACGCAACTCGCTGTCTTCGTGGCCGGGTCCGCGTATGATGGACAGATCGGCCTAAAACGGTCCAGATCCTTGTGCTTCGGATGGACGTAGGCTTCCCCGAATGATCCCTTCATGTCTAACTTCGCAAACTGTTCAATCCCTTCCTTCTTCATCGCCAATCTGACGTCCTCCATGATGCTGACTTCTTGGTGCTCACTCATCACTTTGTATCCTGAATTCGTTACAAAGCCCTCCATCATCGCTTCGAAGTATAGAAGCGGGCACATGACCAGGGTTTCCCCTTGGTAACGATCCAGCGGGCATAGTACCAGTTTGCTCAACCTCGCCTTCACCTGTTTTACCTCGGCAATATCGAGGAAATTATCTCCTTCGTCTGTCCCTCCCACCATACACTTCTTTGCGCTTGCCCAGGATACTGTCACGATGTCTTCCGGGTTCTGATTCTCCCATGTCTGGAATACTGCTTCGATCTCTTCCTTCAGCAGTCCTACTCGGTCCGGGTGACGTGCTTTAGGAATATTCCTGGCGTTCAACATCATCAGATGAATGTCTTCCAGCTCGTGCAGTCGGAAACGTACGTGCTTCTCACCCTTGGGTATGGGAGACCTGCACATTGGCAGGTTGACATAACTTGACGCGCAAATTTGCGCTGGTTGTGTAGCAGATCGACCACGGATAGGTTCTTCGCCCATACCGTTCGCACCTTGCTCCTCACACGTTTCTTTCTACATATTGGATGACTAAGTCCTCCAATCTTGTCGTTCACCACCTTCCGAACTTCCGCTAGACTCACCCTCTCATCATACTTGATCTTCACCACGATATCAGCGCTCATTTTCCATCCGCTTGTTTCCTTGATGACGCGCGCTATGATCCTCCTCAGGTAAGATCTAATTGACTTCTTCTGAAAGTCCTTCGCGGCTTTGTACCATCGGAATCTTACATCCTCGTCCGTTGCTCTTATCAAGTGCATCTTGTTAGGATCGCGCAGCAGTTGGATCAGAGTCTTCTTGTCCGTCCCGATACGCGGGCGCCATTCACGCAGGTATCGCACATCGATACTCCCTCCCTTGTCCAGGATACTTTTACACTTCGTGAGTGTTGTGTCCCGTCCGTCACATCTTACGGCTGATCTCCCGAACATGCTCTTCACCTTTTTCCATCCATCGGCCCAGCTGTTCCCACCCGTTGAATGTAGTATGAACTGCCTCTTCCCCACCTTCTCCAAATGTTTGAGTAAGTTCAGCGCGCTCACACTCCACTCATCATCTTTACTACACTTAAATCGCACCACTCGTACCGTGCTCCCTTCGGGTTGATGCAGTGCGTCCCTGTTCCTTTCCCATTTCCCTTTCCTGTTGTTGCCTCTCTTCCTCGCGCTGCCCTTGATCTTCCCGCACGTATTCAGTACAGGTGACCACCTTTTGATGTACATTTGCTCGAGTAGTGCTAGGTCCTCCTTTGCTCCTGCATCGACTGGTAGGATCACGTATGATTCGGCGCCGAAAGATCTCCACCATTTGTATAGATGCGTGGTCTTTTCTCCTCTTCTGGTCGCCGAGGTATGTTCTCTCCATCTCGTCCCCATGTCCCTACCAGTCCGCCCGATGTATTGTGCCCTGCATTTTGGTGATGCCAACACGTAGATCCCGGTATACTTTGCTAAGAACGTCGTGCCCCAATCCTTGTACATTGATTCCCATGTTTTCACGAATTTCGTAAGCCATCTCACCCATCCTTCGGTGGTCAGCATAATAACTGTAGCGCACAACATCTCCTCTAAATTACCGCCGTACTCTACCATCGTCTTGCGCTGTGCGATGATCCAGTTACACGCCCACCAAAATTATGTCCGTCCCCAAGGTAGTCAGTTATCCTCGTCTTCGTCAGATTCCTTGTTGTCTTCACTTTCGGATGTAATCTGCCTCACTTCCTCTTCCCCTGTCTTCAAGGTAACGTTCTCGGCTTCGCCGTCGTTGTCGTTTTCTCCGTACGCCTCCTGTGCCAGTTTCTCAGCAATATTCACTGCTGCGACGAGCTTGTTACCGTATTCGACCTCAGTGCGCCGGCAAATCCGCTTTAAATCGGTTGCTGTACGCGTCTCCAACTGCCTTATGTTATCCCCGATGTACTTAGCCTTTCCGCCTTTCTCGGTTGATGTTGGAATCTTACATTTCAGTGTGCCTTTCTTCGGTGAGAACTTGGTCGGCGTCTTTCTTGCCTTCATCTTCGCACGTGTCTCCATCGGACGAAATGCCACTTGTTTATTGGTCATCTCCGCTGTCTTGCTTCGCAGTTTACTCGTTGTAGCGTGCAGTTTCGCTGCCAACTTGACAGGCTTCAAGCGTGATCTGGTCGTGCGCCGATTTGACAGCGATAAGCGTCCTTGGTTTGGTGGTTCCGGACTCCTCTTCCTCTTTTTCGAGATTTGCAGCTTCTCGGTTCGATCACTTATTTCCTCGATTTCGCTGTTCGTGCGCCCGCTTGTGAAAGATTCGCCTGATACTGTCGGTGATGCCCCTTGTTTGCCACGTGTCGTCGCCTGTAGCATGGCCATACCTCATTTGAATTGATCTTGCATCTCCTCGCGCATACCTCCCATGCACATCGCCATATGCACCCTAAGCGATTTGGCGAATTCGGCGCGTTCTTCTTCCTCCTGTCTCTTCTTTGCTCTTTTCTGCTCTGCACGCCGTTCTTTGGTTTGCCTCGCCCCCTTCCTCCTGTCTCTTTTTCTCGTCCTCACATCTGCGTTCCTCTGCCTCCAAACGCACCTTCTCCTCTCGCTCCAATTTCCTCCTCTGCTTCTCCTCCTTCTTCCTATTCTCTTGCTCTAAGTGTTCTTTGAAAGTAGCGACGGTAGATCCAATAGCTTCGAGTTGCTTAAGTGTTTCGTCGTCTTGCTTAGTCCCTAACGGCTGTGCTCCCGATGAGCTACCAACACCATGTAAGCCTCCTTCACTCGTTCTCTTCCAGCACTGGTTTCGATAATGTCCCAGCTCACCTCAGTCGAAGCAAGTAGGTGGTGCTCTCCTTGTATGGTCCCATGATCCCCCACTACTGTCGTATGGATATGACCTCTGGTAGTCATCTCGGCTCTTCCCCCTTGGATGGTAGTCGCGCTTACTGTGCTCATCGCCTCTCGATCTTCCGCGTCCACTCTCGTCGCGCTCATGGTTGTATTCCCGACTTCTCCCATCTCTTGGTGGTTCCCTGCTATGTGCTCTGGCTCTTCTGTCCGCCATAGCTCCACTAGCACTTGCTATGTGGTTGGCTAAAGGTCTCCCTCCTCTTCAATTCGATATAGTGTCCGATATACGCTCGCTCCGCGATCTTCTTCAAACCTGTAGTCGTATATGTAACTGTGTATTTGTAATCATCTCCTAGACCATAACATGCTCACTCAAGCCCAGCGTGTGTCTCCAGGCAAGTTCACATGCGCCTTCGATAGTTTGTTGTATGGATATGGAAGACAAAGCAGTGTGCGAAAGCAAGCAAACTGTAAACAGTATGTGAAACCAAAGCAAACTGTAGTCGAACCAAAATCGTGCACCAAGTACACAAGTACAAATTACAACGTCGTCATCGTCGGTGGGTATGGCACCTCGACCGGTTTCGACCGCCGCGCCGGTGGGTATGGCACCCCGACCGGTTTCGACGGCCGCCACGCGGTCTCTTCAGGGGGACACTCCTTTCCTCTCCCTTACACCTTTCCTTCCTTCCTCACTCCCACTTACGCCTGCGTTACCCATCTCTGAGTAGTCAACCGCAAGTCCCGAAAGACGTCTCACAAAGTCGTCATTATACTTATACTCATGTGGCTAATCTGTCCTATGTTGCCTGAGTATCTCGAGGTCTACTCTCGTCACTCGTACCCTGACAAGCATTCTGACGTCCTATGTGCCGAAATA